CGGCGGTACGCCCACCTATCTAATCACTCGCCGCAGGTCTATACGCGGCGAGTGATTAGATAGCAGAGAGAGCGTAGTGTTGAAGAGGGCACAGCGATGAGAGTCGCATCAATGCGCAAATCAACGGGCAAGGAAGGGGTCCCATTTCTCGGGTTCTGGGCCGTTTCTCATGGTTTTTCCTTCTTTCGTGTACCACTCACCATCCCTAGGTTAATTTGAAATGGGTTGCTTTTTCATCGTGAATTCGTCCTTTAAGATACACTGAAGGTATTCACTATCTATCATGCACTTACCGCATAACTTGCAATGCCAAATGTTCTTGTTATGATCGGCCTCGTTGTCGTACAGGGGGATGAGGTAGCCTAGATAGGGTTCATCGTGGGTATTCCGGCCCAATCTAGCAAACCGGCCTCGTCAAGGATTGACTATGAATTTTATTGTGGGCCATGAATCGTACTTCCACATAGAGTTGAAAACCACTCAAAATGCGGGGAGAAGATTGATCATGCATTCCTCGGTAAAACAGCACGTAATACGCCGTGAACGATGACGACGACCAACATTCATATCATATTTTTATTCTGAAAAAAAAATCGAAACACCATCACCGAACTGTCAAGCATGGATGTGAAAAGTGGCACACATGATAGTGAAAAATGCCGTCGCAATTATACGAAAAAGAAACAAATCGAAAGACTATCCAAACATCCTACACTATCCACTAGAACTCAATTCTGCCTCTTGAGACAGATTTCATAAGCGAACTCTAATGTGAAACTCGGATCCCGAATACCTCGAAATTGAGTTGGCAAATGTTACGGACAAGAGAGTCCATTGTTTTGGCGACTAATTTCTTGGCTGTCCAGCTAAAGCCGCAGGATACCACTCACTGCAAGTAGCAACTGTTCGTCCGGCCGAGTCAAACGGAAAGGGATGGGGTTGTATACAACGATTTCCAAGAGAGATCAAGGGTGGTGGTGTATGGCAAAAGACTGTGGCAAATAGTAACATTAGAAAATTTCCTTGAGAGAAAAGTGAGCAAAAATCTCAGCGAAATTCGAGTTCAAAGCGAATTTTCGCAATTTGGATGGTTTCCGCAGCAGTGTACACTTCCCGCTTGCCTTAGCGAGAAGGATTATGCCAAGAAGTGTGGGGTTCAACAAAAATCGGTGCACCAACCATTAAGGTGAGGGTGAATGGTGAGAAGGGAGGGGGTCTGAAACATTTGACATCGGCCGAACACAACGATTGTCCCTGCCTATAGTTCCGATGTGGTGCCTGCGACGTGCCCATAAACCACGATCTCTCAAAGGATCGTAGCTTTCACGACGACAGAAAGTGACCAGAATAAAGTTCATATAAACTTCTATAAATTACGCTATATTTCACTTATCTATGGAAAGAACCGTAGAACAGAGGGAAAAAGAAACACTCAAAATGGCAAAGTTCATGTTCAGGCCAACACCATCTGCTTCAACGTTCCGATTTCCGACGACAGCATATCCGTTGCCACCTCATCAGCCTTGTTCTTCAAACATTGCACAACCAACCGCTGGACCGACCCAAGCAGAGCGAATAGAGTCTGAACCGAAATTCAATTACGACTATTGCACAGGTGAAGTACACATTAATATAACTTCGTTCGTAGCATCCTAAATTCAACCCCCTCTGTTGCCCATTCCGGAATTTCAAAAAAAACTGCAAAAATCCAACTATTTAAATTTTATGAAAACAGAAAAAATTGAAATTGAATTAAGTAGTGTAGTTCAAGTATTTAGATGGCACCGTTTCATATCTTATGATTCGGAATTCTAATTGAAACCTGGAACAATTAAAAGAAGAGCGACTTTTTCCAACTTTGACTCATAGGAGTTGAGACAAACCCAAGGAAGGAGAAGGGTTAACTACCCAAGAATTCAGAACTACTATGCGGTCACCTCTTTCAGGACCACAATGTATACAAGCTAAAACTCAACAACTCTTTACTATTGTTGAGGATTTCACTCTGCTCCCTGGTTCAGAACATACCTGCTCAACGACCCCATCCAACTGCGGCACCAACTGAGCAACGAATCGTCCGCTTGCAGTCACAGGTCTTCCATGTTTGGCCAACAGGTAGAGGACACATGACAGTAGCACTGCTCTTTTAGCTCGGTAACATAACTTTCCAGTACTTCGGCTCTGAAACAGAACTGTTCAGGAATATCGCGGAACAGGGCAAAAAATCCAAAAGAGCTGGACTGATCACAACTGGGAAGTTCATTGGCTGAACAAAACCTGTATGAGACAAACTGTCAAATACCTAGTTTTCGAATCAGGCTGCTTCAGTGAAATAGAAAGCGCTGCTGGAGATGAAAGATCGAAAACAGCCGAATGGAATGCGTCGAGATCATCACCCCGTAAGGAGCTGTATAAGCTGCTCATTGTGTCGCGTAGCACAGTAGGTAGTGATGCGATCGTCTCTTCTCGTTGCTGAAAGACATTTCATGGAAATACAACACAAAAAGTACATTCTATGCATAGAATACTGCTAACACAACTGCTATACCACTAGTGCAAAACCAGCTGAGACGAGCCAGACCCTTTAAATACTCCGGGCAGTCTCGCGTGATACCCTCCAGAACGGAACTACGATAACTACTTACCCGAAGGAAGCAGAGCAAAACTTGGAACTATGGAACTGACCTTTTCTTTCAACTGACCAGCATTTTCCAGCCCTGAGGCACAAGAAAGGGCTGCATTGGCCAAATCAGTACCCATGGTGCGGAAGCAGATATTGGCGGAGCTCATCACGAAGCGAGTCTAAAGTCACAATAAGCAAATTAAGGAGTTGAGAAGGAATAAAGATCGATGTTAAACACATCTTGAGTGCGCCATCACTCTAAACTGAATGCGAAGTTCAAAGACACCCTGGAACGATGAGCTAGATGACTCAAACATGCATATGGAAGAGTACAGTCCCTTGCGCTCTTTGCTGGAGCTGTGCCAAGCTTCTTCTTGTGTGACTGAGCAGCTGCATTTTGTTGAGTTGCTGCTATTTCTGTGAGGCGTGCGCGGATTTTGTCATCTACCTGAAAAATAAGAATTATTGCCCACTACTTAAGCACGACTACGGTGCTTCGTAGAGGCATTCCCGGTAGACAAGTCTTGGCTTAAAGCATGTCACCTGGCGTCCCCATAATTCACCACTGCCTCCAAGACCTTCCCACTCTCACATAAAACTACGCCTTAGGAAAACTACACCTTCACTCCATGCGGCCCCTTCCTCTTCTGAAGAACCAATTACGACCCGCACCCATTCACGAAACCTTTCCGCTGACCCAGCAAGGCACACTCATGAAATGCCTTACTCAACGAAACCTTTCACCAGATGGTGTTCGTTCATACTCTGCCATTAAATTGCGAGCTCACTAACTCCTGGGCTGGCAACCCCTCGCACACTCTTTTCACGCAAAAGCAAAGCACACAAGCAAACCAGGAACTATTACTCATACTATGATACTTTAGCGACAAATTTCTATATCAACGACTTGGTTCTGAAACATTCTGCCCGAAAAATTTCGAACCACTTGAGCGGTAAATGTCGACAAATAAGGCCTGATTAAGATAATGAGCACTAAAGCGAAGGCTTTTACCTGAGGACCAATTCGTTCCACTACATCCTCCATGATTCTCCGGAACGGCCTCGTCTGCAGGAACCCATCTGCAGACTGAAATGAAACTAGAATAGCAACATGCATTTTCGGAAATACTGAAAGACTTAGAAACCTATGATGTAGAGTGAAAGAAGTAATATAAATAATTACAATACAAAAGATCAAGCTGCTCTGAATGAATTCGGACCTCAGATGGAACACCTATCACTGTGGCAGATGGCTCGTCGCGTGCAGCTCCAGCAGATTTCGCACCTTTTCCTCCTCCGCCACCTCGACCGCCTTTCTTTTTTCCTCCACCTTTCTTTGAGTCTCCCCAGTCGTCATCCGCCTGGAAAGCCAACCTCAAATTGTAGCTGATACTAGAAGCCAGACACCCAAGTGACCATTATTAACATCTCTTGCCCAGCAACTACCGATTTTGCGCTCGTCAAAGAAATATCAAAGTGGCAAGGATGGTCAAACCAAGGAAATGTAAGAAGGAAACTATTTTAAAGGATTAAAAGAACAACGCACCTCGACCACCTTCTTCTGCTGCTGGGTACCTTTCCGCTCTTGTTGGATGCGACTCATCTGAAAATCATGAAATAATATCATTACACTCCTTTTCCACCACGCAGATATTCCAACCCATGTGATGACGTTTAAATCAGAGGAGATCGCATTTTTCTTTGTCAACGAATGAAATTATCAAGTAGTGTCCCAGGGACAAAAAAGACTAGGCTGTTCTTTTGCTGATATCAGCTTCAATATGTTGAGAATTTTCCACAGAATCTCCAGAAAGTAACTCACAGAAAAATCGAACACCAATCGACAACCATCGGTAAAAAAAGAGCTCAATAAATCAAAGTCTCCCCAAAAATGAATCAAAATAATTACCAGCTCATGTGCCCATGCATCGATGCGATCACCTAGCCTTTCAATGGTCTTGGATAATATTCGATCCGAGAAAATGTGAGTGCCGGCGCTGTGTAGATTGCTCTCCGACGAGGCCACTTGCTCCGAAATCGCTATTAAATCCGCGTCATCAAACGGTACAGCCAGAGGCTGCAACGCAGACTGAACATCACAAACGTCCGACTCGTGCACAGCCTCTACAAAAGGAGTTACTAGACCGATAAAAATCATGAAGTAATGAAGCAAAACGTGAAGTGTTAGCCCCATTGCGTCACAAGTATCTCCGAATTTCGATTAGAAACAGGCAAACGTGAGGTTTCGTGCAGAAAAATGGAATACATGGAATTCGAAGAAGAAATGAAGTGCACAGCGCAAACTACATTAAATTGTTAAACTAGCCCATTTTAATAGGAAAAAATTCCTGAGGCTACCTTTCACTGCAGAGAAACACTGTTCAAGTAAAGCCCTTGAAACGAGCATTGAAGATAGGGTTTCTATTTTCACATCATTATTGTCTTGAGTGATAATCTGCTCCACTTGTCCATTCTTTGTACTACTTCCACCATCGCTGAGGCCAAGCTTCTTCAATACAGAAGTCTCTGAAAGAAACAATTCCGAAATAGTTTTTCATTTCAAAACCAAATACAATGCGTGTAATGTCAAAGGAGAAAGATAGATGCAATGGACTGACGGATGAACTCTTGCTGACGGAACGTATTCTGTACATATATTCGGACTAAATGGTCATGAATATGAGGGACATACGTGCAGCTAGGTGAGGATCGGGAGCCCGACAGCCGTCCGGGGACCTGAAATTTCGACACTTTTCGTGGCCTATGAGCTGTTGTAGAAGTTAGCGAACCAGACCTCTCCTTCCGTTACAAGAGCGTCAAAAGCAGACCAGAATCGAGCACTGGGTAATCCTACTCGTGCTTGTATCACATTTATGGAAACGGGCCTTAATTATATTTATTTTGTAGAAAAGTACAAGAGAATCGAAGCTAACTAACTTAGTAGTGGCAGAAAGTATTGCCCTTAACAAGTTTTTGTGTGCATCCAGATATTCCTGAGTGAAAATCGTATCGCCTTCAAGAACTCCGCTGAAGTCAGCCGGGAGGTGATCCAGCAACAAAGACTTCAGCAATTCCTAAACTTTTTATGTGCAAAAGGACACCACAGCTCATCTCATTCTAAGAAGGCGATTTCAACATCCATTACACCAGAAACCAGAACAGAAGAATTACTAGTTAGATAACGTACCTGAGACAAGTTCCAGTGTTTACATAATGATGACAGTGTTTGGTAGCCGTGTTCAATTAGAAGAGTTCGAAGCTGATTTTGTAAATTGGTGACATATTCCCTGTAACAATTTTATCACTTTTTACAATGATAAAATCAGTCGGGTAAAACCAAACCATTGATCGATCGAGCTTGATCACACTATGAACAGCAGCAAGTATTTCTCTTCCCCTCAGAACCAGTGTGAATTCTATTTGAGCTATAGTGATTTTAGGATCAAACCAAAGCGCAGCTAGCCTGTTTTCTTAATTCACCCACTCAGAACAACGATTCATACCACCCAATTGAAACCTCCAAGAGCACTAATCATGACCCATTCCTTCTCATGTTTCAACGGTGGGCGTGTGCAAGAAAACAGCCAAGCGACTGGTGATTGCTACTATCTGCACCAAGGATTGACTTTCGAAACCAAGACTTTCAAATCTCCTCCTTTCTTTAGGATTTCTAATGAAAATCTTTCCATTATATTCCCACATTGGAAAACCCGCTTGACTAATTATCCTGTTTTGTGGAAATTCACAACTTAAAGAAAAACGATGGTAGCTCAGGCAATCACATCGTTTTGTCATAACAGACCGCTGCGACAATTCCATAATAACCTCTAGTTTTGCACACAAAAGTTTTCACTGACTCGGCAAACAGTTCGCCTCCTGAGATCTTGAATTCGGCATTCTCTGAAGCTAGCTGATGAGCCACACGTTCCACATGTTCGAGGTCAACATTCAGCGAGGTGGCTATGTCGGTTAGAGGAGCTCTTCCACCCAATGCCACACATTCATTTCGCACCTGGAAATTATTGAATTTAGTCCAAGGACTCTAAGATTTTCTTCTGTAGACCGTGTATCTAATAAGCCAACATTCTAATAGAAATAATTTACACATACCTCAGTGGCGAGATGTTTTTGAGTGATGTATGAATGTCCATCTCTCGTAAACACCACATCGATCAGAGACCTTTGGATTAGTTTCGATACCCCTCCACGCCAATTGGCCTCCGATAATCTAAACGATGGGAAGGATGTAGAACAACTCAACTTTTAGAGTTTTACCAGCACGAATATCAATGTGAATCGGAACTACAGGGAAGACGACAGTGTCGTCACGGAAAAGCGACACAAACTTAGCCCAATTATGCAGCGGCACGCTCCAAAAACAAAAAGCTTACAAAGAAAAGCATGGAGAATCTAATGCTCTCTTTTTACTAGACTGTGATACTTCCGATCTTGATTATGCAATGCAGACCTATTTGATATTCTTTCCTTCGCCATTAGCTGTTGACAAGCGTCCACTCTAGCCACCCTCCTGAAGCAAACCACAAAATGCACCAAAATTCTCTCGCTTTCCCGTAGAGATCAAAAATGTGCGAAATTTGAGATTGCTGAACCTTGAACCGTGAAGCAGCACTCTTTGCCAAATAAAGCTTAGCTCTATAAACTCCGAAATTGTTCAAATAGCAAGACTGAAGTGGTAGCTGATGAGTAGCCCCTCAAAATTTACGATATAAAAAACAACCAAACGAGAAATACAGAAATACTGACTTTTTTGATGACTGCGAAAGCTGCACTCTTTGCAGATCCGACACGAGACGTTGTATATCTGCCCAGGTTGCGGCCATACCGACCTATGAGGTAAAACGAGTAATCTACCTTACGTATCTTTCAGTGCCGAATTATAAACATTGTCTTGGAATTATGGCCATTCAACAGTGTGAAACGACATTAAATAAATAATTTATAAAATCCGTTGCATCGATAATTATCTCGTAATTGCCTTGGTAAACACTTTAAATACATACGATTTCTCAAATACATAGTATCACAGAAGGAAACCATGATCAACAAGTAAATTAAACAGCATTAATCAAAACAAGGCATTGACCGGTACGATATGCTTATATCACTATAAGAAAAACCAAGTTCTCGTTATGAAACAGCTGAGGGATCTGTGGCAGGAGGATTAGGCTCCGGGTCATTGGAATTTGCATTCCGGTCCAGTACATGTGATTTCGAGTCCAAGTCCAATGTGTTCGGAGGCACTTCTACAACGGCTTCTAGAACAGCCAATTTAAAACGATTGTAGACCCTTGTATAATACCTTCACTATGAACTGATTCTGAAAGTATGGGGTACGCTTATTCAGTTGGAGGTCAAAAATACAACTTGTGGTGCTGATTGAGCTTCCGCTGAACAGGAAACCAAGATCAGCGGCTTAAAGGCAAGGTTCAGGATCAAATTCCATGAAATCCCACTCGAATATGAATGTAGGGATGCGAACTGGACGCATGTGGGAAGAAAAGGAAAAGAGAT